ATTTTGAGGTGGAAAGGGGTGCGGAATGTCTCTTTGGTCACACAGATCCCACTGGTCTCAGCTGGTTTGGGTGTCACACGGGTATGAGGGCTTTTCTCCCAGCTGATAATCCCAAGTTTTGGCAGCGAGATGCAAACCAGGCCCTRTTTGGGCTGAGAACCCAATTAATTAATTAGCGCTGAGTGTGTCTGTGTGTCCTCACTCCACCACTGGAGGAGGACTGGCTCGGGTCACTTGGCAAAGCCTGGTCTGTGGCCACCCCAAAATCCTCATTCCTTGGCATGAGGAGCAGGGAAAAGGAGTCAAGGAAGGCAAAATGTTGTGTTTGTTGGGCTGCAAAGAGAGGACTGAAACATTGATGGAGACCTCTGGGTGGAAGGGGAGCACTGTGATCCACGATGTCTCTGTTCACACTGCCCRATTTTCTAGGATTTTGGGTCCAAATCGAGCACAAACCTTGTAGGAAAAATACAAACCCTGCRTCCAGCTGGATTTCCCCCTCCTGACAGCGTCCCTGGCCGAGCACAGCAGCTTTATTAATTTTTCCACGTCTCAGCTCTGTTGAAGTGTCAGAATTTCCTGAATTCCTGTGGGAGTTGGAGCTTTTTGCCCAGCTCTGGAGGAGGAGTTTCTTACTCAGGGTCCCCCTTAGTGAGGCTGGAGTTCATSTCTCCCTTAGCCTGGGGAGCCACAGGAGAGCTGGGAAAGAGACTTCGCCCTCTGTGACCTGGCAGGAGTGAGTTTGGTGTGAGTTTTTCCCTCTTTCCAGTGGAATTTTCTTTAAAGAGCCATTTTCTAGTTTGGGATTACCTTCATTGAGAGCTGCAGACAGCATTTTATGTTAGAAAGAGTGGTGACAATAGTCCCACCGATCGATTTAATTTGATTTGGCATTACTCAACCAAATTAAAATTGAAGGTGGGAAGGGTATTGCTAAGCAGTCACTGAGGATGAGTTTGAACGCTTGGGAAAAGCTTGAGAAAAGCTGAGTGGAACTTTTTGAGTGGCATGTGACCTTTCCTGCTGCCTCTCTGCTGTTACAGCCCTCCCAAAACGCTGAAGCACCACCTGAGCCTCTCCTCCTTAAGGGCGAGCAGGTTGGTGCGTGCCACTTGCAGTGGGGATTTTTGGGTTATTTTGAATTTTGTGAGTTCCAGGGTGGCTGCTGCAGCTTCTGTTTCATTCCTCGGGCCGCTCTGGTCGGATGGGCTCACAAATCCCCACATTATCCCCTCTGCCCATCAGTCAGCTCCGGAGTCGGTGGTGCGGCGCATCCATCCCGCCTTTGGAGAAGGTCTGGGCTGCTTTATTCCTTGAGCCAGATATAATTAGTCACGAGCTAATCAGAGCAGCTCAGACCCAAGTGGGCTGTGGCTTGGGACCAGGATCTTTCAGGTTTTAATCCAGCCTTGCCCCGGCGCGGCAGCGTGGCTTTTCTCCGGCCACCTGACTCRGCAAGTCCCGGCTTTTGCCCTAAACCCATAAACCGGCTTTGGGGTGCCTGGTCCCGGCTGAAACACCCCCTGGCAGGGCTGGCAGGGCGTGGTGGTGGCCCAGCAGAGCTCCTCCCGGGGCAGGGGCTGCTTCTGCTCCTGCTCTTATTGTATAATAAAGGAGCAATGGCTTGGAACTGGGAATGAGGAGAAGGGAAGGGAAGGGAAGGGAAGGGAAGGGAAGAGAAGAGAAGAGAAGAGAAGAGAAGAGAAGAGAAGAGAAGAGAAGAGAAGAGAAGAGAAGA